TGAGATCGAATACAAAAGACAGTTCACTTATAACCGAGAGAACAGAGACTGTGTCGAGATTGTATGTTTTAGAAGGAAAGAACAACAACATATCTGATCGGTGTGGGTTTTCATTTTTAATCTTAAAATCCTGGAAATTCTATAGCTCTTTAAAAAAGCGAAATGTAAAGAGAGCCAACTTGTACAAGAAAGAAAACAGGAAATGCCTCGAGATTATGACACAAGTGCTCTTTTCCTTTCTATAGGAGGCAATAATGTAAGAGGCGTTTACATATTATACAAAAAGATCGGTGGATAGAGAGACAAAAAATTACTGTATCAAAATAATATATAGATGCGTGATTCTAGAAGGAGCGCAAAAAACAAACAAACAATCAAAACGAAGAATGTCAATAATCGTTTGCTTAACAAGTGAAAAGTTGTTTATCTTTGTAATCATAATCATACGAGCAAAACAAAAAATGCACATACCGTTATACGCACAGTGACTGACAATGGTTTGTTCGTGCAAAACGGTACGTCTTTTAAAATCAATTGACAACAAATATTACAGCTCCCAAAGCTCTTCTTTAGTGTACGCCAGGTTAGTTATAGTCCAGAATCTGGCCGGTTCTTCATATTATATTTCCTATAATTGATTCAAGCCGCCGAAGATGGCGTTATCACTATACACTCACCATCCCTATTTTCTTCGCTGGGAGTCCTAATTTAATGATCACGTCACCTTCGGCTGAAAGCAAGTATGTAGGAGGATGTCGCATATTGCGTAGTTGTGGTGGAGATCAAAATTAAATATGCCAGATTCTGGACTAGTTTAGTAATAGCAGTGTACTTTTAGGCAATGGTATTTAGAATTTAGATTTCTGTTGATGTTAGTAGACCTTAGATGTAGTGAGAGTTGATTGATAATAGTTAGTCTGGTCGCCGAAGTCGTGAAATGCCCATTAGGTAAAAAAAAAAGAAGAAAAAAAGAAGAGATTTATTTGCCCTTCGAAGTCCAAGGAAAGACTGTTTCACGGGAGGTTTTACAACTGCAACGTTGAAGCTCCCTAAATTGGATTGCGCCTTCCTGTTGTTAATTCAAATCATGACTTATGAATGGAAGATAGAGACTACTGGATAAATGGATCATTTAGTCAGTTTAAGTTGCATGTTTTTATATTATTAAAAAAGCCACTAGCGTAATGTAGTTAGGGTAGCTATTTTTTATCTAATGCTTTGCATACACTACCATGTGCATCAGGTAGGGTTAGCGTTAGGGTTGTGGCTATTTTTTTTTAGAAACATGGTAATGGTAATGGTAATGGTTTTATTAAAAATTCATTTGCAGCCAGATGGTTGAATTGCAGAACTTTGTACATTGTAAAAACATAAATATTTATACAAACATAAAACGTATTAAGACATATCACGCAGTGAATGAATTAAAAAATCAGTGTACACATATATATATATACAAATTAATACAATTAATAAAATTCGCTTAACTTCTATTCCACAATCATCATAGGGCTGGAGGGAAATAAAGAAGAGAGGTAGGGAGGATAATAGTGCAGACAGCACGGGAGACCGAGGAAAAGTGTGAGATAGAGACAGACAGAGAGGGAGAGAAAGAGAGAAAGGGAGAGAGGGAGAGAGAACGAGAAACAAAGCGATATATATATATATATATATATATATATATATAAGATAATGCTGAGGATGAGAGTGTATATCAGACATATCGAAAATAAGGTGAAAAGTACAATTTCGACAGAGAGAATACTGGTTGTAAAAAATAATGATTAACATTTTACATTTTCATTGGTGAGTTATGGATAACATATATTGTAAATTAATCGGTAGGTATGCAATCAGATGAGAGACATGAAATATGGTAATTTTGAGATTTTTTTTGTAATAAATATGTGGCAAGTATGTTTCAATCATTACATAAGTTAACAATGGCAATCTTGATTTACCGTATTATATTATCATTTTCATTAATCAATTATTAAGGTTGTACAATCGTCTTAGTTACAAAATTATATACTATTTCACATAAAATAAAATAATTATACAGCACCTCTACCTCATCACTATGGGGATAAGTTTACATGTTATACAAAATAATGTGGACAAAGTGCACGATCACTACTGTGATTTAGCAAGTCAATAAGGTAGGGAACTGGACTGTTACGAAATCGTTTGGTTTTACATTTTAACTATTCTCTGGTATTTGATTTGCGTAGGCTTCTAATGCTCTTACGAGGAGGTATGAGGTAAGATACCTTCTCGTTTGATATCAGTTTCTCTGCAAAACTCAAACACAGTTCCTTCCTTCTGTCAGCCAAAGAAGACAGATTCGTTAGATTCAGTGCTGTCTCATATGACTGGTAATTAGGTCCCGCGATTATTTTCAGAGTTCTTTTCTGCACCCTTTCTAGTCGATTTACTTGTTTTTTAGTTAGGCCTCCATTCCACACCGGCGAGGCATACTCTACGATGGGTCTGAGGAAACCAGTGTAGATGGTACAGAGGTCTTCGATCGGCAGTCCGTGACCTTTCAGGATCCTAATGAGGTGTATTCTTCCATTTGCACGTTTTATCATGAAATCCACATGATCACTCCATTTTAAATCACAGCGGATATGGACTCCTAACAATTTGACAGACGTGGATTGCTTTAGAAAATGCTGATCAATTTCCAGTGACAGTGGTGTTGGAGGCTTTTTCATAAAACACACCTGCATACTTTCACTACTGATTAAGTGATGCCTACCGAAAGAAATACCATCACTGATGCCATATCAGTGAAGAATCTGGCCGATTCAATATTAAATAATCTCCACCACACCGATTTCCCCGGACTTGCTGCAAGCAGAAGATGACGAGATCCCCGAATTTCTACGTCCGGCGAAGAGGCTGGCGTACGAGTTCGTTGGTAGTGCCATCTTCGGTGGCTTGAAGGAAGTGTAGGGAATATCGCTGAGATGAAATATAAGAGCCGGCTAGTTTTTGGACTAATGCCATATCAAAACTAGCCGTTTCTTATATTGTAAGTCTGCGATATGCCCTACACTTTCTTCAAGCCGCCGAAGATGGCACTATCAACGAACACGTACGCCCAGCCTCTCCGCCGGACGTAGAAATTCGGGGATCTCGTCATCTTCTGCTTACAGCAAGTACGGTGAGATCGGTGTGGTGAAGATTATAATCTGGTACAACTGCTTACAGCTTACAGCAAGTACGGTGAGATCGGTGTTGTGAAGATTATAATCTGGGACAACCGCTAAACACTTTCCAAGTTTTAAAAGTTTTTCTTGCATGTTCAGATATTCCATCCAAGTAATTGCTCGCAGGAAGAAGCAAAAACGTGCTTTCTTGCTAGCAGTCGCTTAACCAGACTAGGAATATCTTTTTAATCCTATTGAATTATAATCCCGATCAAAAGTAAAAATTTCATTATTGTTCACAATCGCTTGCCAGAATGATAAACGCCCATTATTTAAAAAAGGAGGAATTTTCCTTGGTATGTTGCAAGTTCTTCTCCTACTAACTTATGTCATGGCATAGGTTTATGTCCATTCACCTCTGCAGTGCCGGATCCAGGACTTTCAACAACAAAAAAAAGGGGGGTGACGAAGCAAACGTATACGCAAAGCGCACTATGAACGCGTAAGAGTGAGCCCTTCTCATTGTGCAGTGACAGAGTTCCCGCGTGGACCTGGAGGGGGAGGGGTGGTTAGCCTCTTACAGCTGTCGGGTTTTAGCACTTCGGCATTAGGGACTTTTAGATTTGCACAACGACAACGTGGATTGCTACGATCGACGTCCTTTTAATGCACTGCCTTGAATGGACGTCACACGTATCAGTCCACGCAAATCTAAAAGTCCCTATTATCAGAACCTTCAAGAAGCCGTCTTGATCAATAAAACACACACACGCACTCTCACTCTCCCTTCCTCTCTCTCTCTCTCTCTCATGACATTGCACTCGCTAGCAAAGAGAAGGCTGAGTGCTAGCTGGTACAGGGATTAGAATTTTGAGTTTGTCTCATTCTCTTTAATGCATTACTTTTCATTTAATTTGAATAATATCATGGCAAAAATTTCCTCTTAAATGAAGTGCTCTGCGAATGCCTTCAAATATGACAAAAATCAGGAGAAATAGTATAGTATTAATGACTGCTTTGAGATAAGTAGTTGTTTTTATACGCTCAAGGGAAGATTAGAATTGTGCTATTGCCCGAGGCGTGCCGGGGGCAATAGCCCAATTGTAACCTTCCCGAGAGCGTATAAAAACTACTATTTCTCGAATATTAAAGCAGTCATTAATACTTTTATATGCCGAAAAAAAAAGAGTCAACTTATGACACCACCTTGGCCTTTATCTAGTTTATCTGCACGGTTGTTTTTTTATGAGTGTATCTTTCAGAGTAGACTAAAAAATAAAAAATGAACAATATTTTTTAAGTCGAAGATGGGATTCGATCTCTTGCGTACGAACGATAGTATGACTAAAATCACAGCCTTAGACCGCTCGGCCATCGCGCACTGATAACATATGTAGCAGTTTTCTCTAATGTATACATTAAAATGGATTGAAAACGGCTTCGCGTGCTGGATGCTTCGCGGCAGCTCCATTAAACGGGCCCTTCTTTTACTTTTGCAATGCATTGGCACGAACTTAGATCAAGATCTATCGGCATATGTTGTTTTTAGAAGTTTATTTTCGGCTTCATGTCAACAATGCAAAATAAAATTGTCGGTAAGATCGATCGAGATTCAATTGTATAGAAATTACCGACCAATTCATCGCACACGTACGGTATCCTCGATCGCTCAGACCATTTGTTAACATGTGAACCTACGGGTTTTTCAGCACGACTGAACTATTTTCCCAGTAACCATGGTAACTGGGATTTTAGAACTATTTTTTTGAACTATCACATGGGTTTGGAATTTTACCGGGAATTTTACAGGAATAGTTTATGAATGCAATTTCGACCAAACAGATGGCTGGATTTCTTAAGTGAGGTATATAACTAACAATATTGAACCAAACTTTCAAGCCAAACGTGCGTGTCCCATATACACATTTATGTGAGCACTCAACGTGACTAAAATCGAGTCTCTTTTTCCATCATTTTGATGATTCCATAACCTAAACGTATGCAGTAATTCTGAAATACTTTGTAATCAACATTTCCCAATTGCCTCCAGAAACGTACTTTAAACATGTATTTTAAAGGGCTTTAAGTGCCTATACACATCCCCAAAACCGCGGTTGGTTAATACGGAGGAAACTTTGAAGGAGCCCTTATCGTTTAATATTGTAGTGCAGTTTGTATACCAAAATAAATAGAAAATTATATGTAAAATTTTCCACACTGTCAATTTTTCTCGTGCAATTAAACAAAGACGAAAAAGACCGACTTTATGCAATATGGAAAATAGCCCAAGTTTGTTAATCTACACTGCTATCACTACTAGTTTCCAAGGTTTTCAAGAAATTTGTCAAAGGATTCAAAATTGAAATTACAGATATATCAAGGAAGCTTCGAATTCAGGGTATAGCCGAATCGGGATTTCTAATTTGGGGCCACCTTACAAATAAAAGGCAAGTCCACTCCACAGACAATGTCGTTCCAAGACTGGAGGATATCATCTCCTGCGTTCCTACGCCAGAAATGGGCGCAGTCCTCTCTGTTACCATGGTTATCGGGCTGACGAGTCAACCATTGCTCGAAGTCTAGACCGGATCCATCAGTCCAAATGAAAGGTCCAGTTGAGCCTGATGTTGACTGATAGGCACCGATCCAAGCCCCATAGTATGGCGGCCCACCCTGTCCAAGAAACAACAAAGAAATCAGTGAAACAAAATCAGCAAAATCAGATCAGAAGAAAAGTGAATTCATTATTGTTTACTTAGATAGTGCTCATATCAGTGACGCCGTGATACCCATGATACTTATACGTTACTTTAGCCGAGGAGAGGAAGGGGTGGGGGAGCAGGAGAGTCAGAGAAACAGCTTGGCGAAAGTTAGAAATAAATCGGACCAATAATTCTAAAGTTATGATTGTTTTTAAATGAGGTCGCTATACATATGCGGATCTGAAATTGGTAATTTAGTCAGTGGATTGTGACGTAATGACCGATAACTCTCTCATTTGTCCTGTACAAAAACATCACTAATAAGCGAGTTCGTAATTAGGATTTGCGCATGGGCAGAAAAGGGTCATTCGTACCCAAATTGTAAAACCATTGAGACGAATACTCGGATCTTGCTCATGAAAGTTATGTAATCAGTATTCATTTATGCACCAACAGTACATTTATCTGATACACAGGTGGAAGTATTCTTCTCAAGAGGCAAACAAAAGGTATTCACGAAGCACCTCCATCCCTTTGGCAGTGATTATTCTAAAATGCACATGTGGGACGTATCCATCGTGTAAAAGATCTGTGGATATTTTGGGGTCATGCGTTCCACAGCTATTTACGAACTCGTTGCCTTCACCCTTGGGGCACTTCTCACATTATTTTATGGAGAGTGCATTATTTACAGGTCATATAAAAAGAAAAGACCATCCCAATTGACATTTTAGTAAAAGAAAAATTTAAACAAACGGTAATGTTGTCCGCCACTAAATCGCGAAGACGAAGCGGATTCAGCCAATTTGAAGAACGCATACCTAAAGTGAGTGCTGGTTTCAAAAAATCATAATTTTCTTGATTTCTGTCCGATTTTATGCTTTTCTGATTTTCCTGCTTTCTTGTATAGTAGTTTGCTATTTTGGCAGGATATCCCTTTAATTAACAGTCTAAGCTAGGTCACACATATTTACCGACGGTGTGTTGCCTGCAGAAGAGCGGAAAAGGTCGTAAGCGAAGGCGTTCTCCTGTTCCGTGTGGATGGATACTAAATCAGCCCGTCCATTCAAGGAGTAGTGATCCCTGCAGCGATCACGAGCCGCTACCCAAGTGACCCGCTCCCCGAAGTAACGGTAGCAGTTCCCGTTAAATGGAAGCCAGAACTGAGGGCATGGACAACACACATTTTCATCTAAGCCGTGAACTACCACGGCTAGAACGGCAATGGATGCGAGCAGAAGCTTCATGTTGATTACTGGAGAGTCAAAGAAGAAGAGTGAAAATCTATTACAAATTAGCGACTTCAATTTTCACCCAAGAATTACCAATCGTGTATGTTCAATCTGGTAAACCAAAAGTTTACTAAAAGAGAGTCGCCCCAACCCCCGAAAAAGGGGTGTTTTGGGGGGTACCACCTCCTCGCCGGGAATTTTGGACCCAGACCTCAAAGCACCTAGCAATGTAATTTCCAATCCTTTAATGTCTGCAGACTCACACTGTAAATGAGAAGTGCCGTTTTTATTCAGAGAAAAAATATCTTAATTACCAAAGGCATCTTTTCTTCTTTTCCGCGTAAGAAATTTGGGGACTTCCTAGTCCCCGGCAAGAACATTCCTTGTCCACCGCTGAATATTCTAGACAACTTAAGATTTCTTGCAAGAGATAGAAATGCCACAATAGTGTAACCCAGGTTATGACCAATGATGATCAAAAGTAGAAATCTTGTTCAGATAAGCCTGTCATGATTTGGATATTTTCTTGTCATGTTCGTGCGGTGTAATTGCCCGAGCTTGTTTTGTTGAAAGCCTCTGCGATCGTGTTAATAAATGCAAAGATACTTTCGATTAGTACCTTTAATCTATTAATCATCTTTTCTGCTCTCCCCAAGCCGAGACAGAGTAGAAGCAAAAGGGAAAAAAGAATCTAACTACTTATTTTTACTGGTTTTATTGATACCCCCTTGCACTTTCCATTCTTTTCCTTTCTTATTCTGTTCTTCTTGTTGTTCTTATATATTGTATTAATATGAGGCGTATCCAACCATGGTATATGCTTTTAAAAAGTCCGCCGTCTTCCCTGTATTAAAACTGATACCATGTTAAATTGCTTATGCGAATGGGAATTGGTGATAAACTTATTCATTTTGTTGATATGGAAACAGAAAAGGGAGAAAATAAATGTTACTTTGAATTGAATTGAATTGAATTGAATAATTAAAGAATCGTATTAGTACTTATAAATTAGTCAATACTTACGTTTAGTTTGCCTTTGTGAACTTGATTTCGGCTGCTGAAAGAACTGATGAACGTCAGTGATTATCGATGTGATGCAGTCCTTCTCATCACAGCCATATTTATTGACAAACTCATCCGGACCTAGCTGACATGATCTACTCCTTAGATCCCTCAAGATTTGAAAAATACCAGCAAAAGGCTGCTTATTTTCCTCTTAAATAAGGACAGGAGGCTACCAATGACCGCGAATATCCGTGAATTACGAGAAACACAGAGAATTTCTGATTATCAACCTCTTATTTTGTTGAAAGTTGTGTTGGTATTGGGCGTCAATCTAGACAGTATTATACTAGAGATCTACTCAACGATGCCATCGCGTCTAGGTCTAGTCATCAATACATCTCTTAAGAGTTGAAAATATACCAGTAAAAGACGTGGTGTGTCCGTGAATGATCATGTACTATGTTCTTTCAAGGCTGCCATGAAGCATAAATTATTATCAGCATACAAATCATAATCTAATAAGCGCTCCAAAGCCGGCACTAGCACACACACTTGCACATACATGTACATAAACAAGAACATAAATAACACGTTCCCCAAAAGAAATACGCTTATAATATAAACATTTAAACTTAATGGAATTTATTTTATACCTTTTTGAAAGATTGAATATCTTCATTATGTGGCCGTTATGATTAATTAATTTCTGATTATAAGATTGGTCGTCCTGTTTGGCCCATGTATAGGTACATTTTCTGGGGCCGCTATCACGTTCAAGCTCTCGCTTTTATAAACTATATAATTTTTAAAAGTATGATTATCTAATTGATTAATATTATGATATGATTATAATGGTTTTTGTATCTTTTGTTAATAATGTATGTAACTAGTTTGTTTATGATTCTTATTAGGCCTATGTTGAACAAAACAGAAATAACATCAAACAAACAAACAAACTGCTCAATGGGGACATTTTGATCACCAACGTATGTATGGTTGAAAGTTAGAAGCTGAAAAAAGGCGCCAAGATTGACATACTTCGTCGAGGGGCTTTCGTTTTAGGGAGCATTTTTGTGACGAAAGGTAGGAGTTCAAATTTGTATAGTAGGTTTAAGCTATTCTTATATTTTCCTGTGGGTGTTTAACAGTTTTCTTTACAAACAGTACAAACATATTTCCCATGCCTGTTTTCTCCAATCATTCCACCAAGACAGCATTCCTTTAACATCTATTTATTAACCAAAGCAAACAAAGCTTGATCATTTTAAGATCTCAGACGAACGCTGCTCAAAACTCTTCTCAAATTATTTTTAGTTTGCAGACACAGATTCTTACTAGTTGAACACTTAAACACAAATTCTCAAGCCTTGTGCAGAGCGTAGCTCTGCCAGTCCCTGGCTGTGTCAAATGTAAAGTACAAAGGCAATACAGTGCAACGTCAGTATAGTGTCACAGTGAATTAGTGAATTGAGCGGAAAAGTCAGAGAAACAAAATGGCGAAACTTTGAACTAAATCAGACCAGTGCTGTTATGATATTTTGAAAAAAGAGATCGTTACACATTATGTGGATCTCAAATTGGCAATTTTGTCAGCGGATAACAGATAACTCTTTCATTTGTCGTGTACAAAAATATCACTAATTTATGTTTCTTCTCTCAAGTGCCTTCACCCTGGGGGCACTTCTCAAATATGTGATGGAGATTATTGTACAGGTCCTACAAAAATGAAAGATCATCCCAAGTTATACATTTTTCGAAAATTTGCGTTTTAGTCATTTTGTGTGTTGGAACAAATGGTAAAGTTGTCCGCCAGCAAATCACAAAGACCAATCGGCCAAAATACCTACATTTGTCATCTTTATCTTTTCTTGAAGGTTTAATTATTTAAATCATTAATATTATAATACGATTACATGTCTTCTTTTTTTGGTTAAACCGTTTCTTACGGTTTGACCTAACGCCTGACTACTCTTTGATACGGTTTGGAATGGCGAATGGACACCCAGTTGCAATGAAGGCGTTGCTTTCGCATGCATATGTATAGGCCTAGAAATGCCCCATTGGACGAGACGCATCCTGTGTATGCATATTTATGAGCATTATATATTCTTCGTTCCGGGAAGCGTGATTTTTTCCCACTTGAACTCCGGACCCCAGTATGAACTCATGTTCATACAGCCAATCAGAGCTCATCTTGTCAATAACAAGCTGTATGCGTGCTAAAGATGCGAAATTCGAAACGGTGCAAAGCTTCACACACGTACACACAGCGCCTTGCCTATATCAGCATGCATAGGCATAGGCTTGCAAATGTTTCATTTCTGCTCTAGCATCTCTACCTTTAGCAAATTCATTACAGATCCACGAATATCAGCTTATCAAATTGCTGTGAAAAACTGTTACTAATAACTAAGTTGAAATTACTCTAGCAATCAAGGATAGGCATTTCTCGTCATCGAAGCCACTATATATTTATAAAGACTCATTTCTAAAGATTTTACGGTTGAAAATTTATAATAGATCAAGACTATATACACCTCTAAAAGGCTCTAATAATATCAGCTTTATTTTGTACTCCTTTTATTGCAGGAATTCTTACCTGAGAACATCACAGCAGTTTCTTAAGGTGATATTATTAGAGCCTTTTAGAGGTGTAGATCTATAATAAATTTCTCAACCATAACTTTTTTAGAAATTAGTCCCTATATATAGTGGCTTCGGAGACGATAGGCCTATCATTAATTGCTAGAATAATTTAAATTTTGATCTAGCGCTAAGTAATAATCTTACACGGCCTTTTAGAGGTGTATAGATCTATGATAAATTCTCAACCGTGGAATTCCCTTCCCAATTGTGTACAGGAAATAGAAAACTATGCTCATTTTAAGAGGAAATTAAAGGAATACCTCATACTTGCCAGTCAAAGAAGAGAAGTGAATGACATGTTATATGATTGAAATTTGTATTGTTCTGCCGGTTCATACTTTTTCATTTTGTATATATTATGTTTTCGTACGTTATAGAACTTCTACAAATTCATCATTATTTTCCTCTTCTTCCTCCTCCTCTTTCTTCTTCTCCTTCTTCTTTTTCTTCTTGTACTTATTATCGTTTCTATCATCAGTTCAATGTTCTTATTATTATTATCTTTAATAAGTAATTCTTTTATTTTCTTATCTGTCTGTAAATATTACTATTTTAACTTATTAATTTATACATGTCTGTAAGGGATCCCACTGGAAATAAGCTCTCGAGCTTTCGTGGGTTATCCTGTTTAAGCTGACTTATTTCTGATCTGTTATTTTTGTATATTGTTGTATGTTGGAAACTTGTCGAATAAAAGTCAATCAATTAGACGGGAGTTACTGTTACCTTGTTAGGCGTTCAACAATAAGGGATAGAGCAACGTCGATCTGGCGCTGCTCAGTGGCTGCCGGGTTCACCATCAATTGGGGCAAAAAGAATTTCCATTTTTGGTTTAACTTAATCAAATTTGGAGTGGACTTTAAAAGATTAGTATTATTATTATTATTATGCACGCACACCTTGCATGCTGATATAGGCAAGGCGCTGCGTGTACGTGTGTGAAGCCTCTGATTGGCTGTATGCAAATGAGTTCATACTGGGGTCGGAAGCTCAAGTGGGGAAAAAAATACGCTTCCGGGAAGCAAAAGGCGGCTTGTTGTGCATATTTTTGATTCCCGCGTTGTGTTGCGTAAAAAACAAAATTCTCAGCTATTATCATTGGTTTGCGACAACGCAACAATCGACAGAGTCATGCATATTCATACGGTTGCAGTACGAGGCTGCATGCGTGCCAAACAATGTTGTCTACATGGTAGTAGAAAATTCATTTTGAGGTAGAAGCAACGCCGAATGAATGCTTTCCCTCTCTTCCGTATAATACATTGTTCACCATTATTAGATTATGAACATGAAAATAACATATCGAACATGTCAAAGAAATCAAACTGAACAAAATCAGTATAAGTGTCTAGTGTTCCTCTATCTGCCAATATCTACTTATCATGTCTATAAATTATCTATTGATATATTTTAATGATTTTTCAAGAAAAGAAAGAGTATCCAATATCGAGCGTGTGTTTCCTAGGCTGTAGATTTCATGCATCTTATCGAAGCGAAAATATATTCGAAAGATCACAAAAAATTGATGTTGGAAAAATTCTGATAATAAAATCATTCAACAAGAATGAAAATAAAGCTAGCTAGGAAAATAACTTATCATGCAATGAGGGATATACTCGATAATGTTCTTTCAAAATATCCAAAAGAATTTCATACTATTTTGTTTTCTAAAATCCATCTTTACATGCTAGACTTCCTCATCCAAAGGAACTTTGTTATCATTATTACTATTCATTTTTTTTTTCATTACTATATCTGAACAAATTTGCCTATGAATGAAAGCAACTCCAAATAATAAAATAATACTATATCTCAATTTTTTTAATTATTCGGCGAATATTATTGTGCTGTCATAGTTTTAAACTGATCGTTAAGTGAAACATGTGGAAGAAGATTCTTGAACAAAACAAAATTGAGCAGTGCGGCGTCTTGTTACCTCTTCATAATGGTCGTATAAATTGTATTTTTAAACGGATGCGTTTTAAAGAATTCTTTCTGATGACATTTACATGGATTTATATCATGATTATTTATATGTTTTCATGTATACATTGGTCAGAGTATGCCATAGGCAAGAAACATCTAAAGAGTTTCGTCGCAAAATGCAATACATTGTATCTCCATTTTTGCGCTTAACTCGTTTTGTGATGAAACTCTTCATTTCTTCTTTTAGTTTTAATTTACAACATTATGTTTCAATAATAATTTCCCGATGCGCACGCGCTTGGAATTACAAGTCAAGTTGCTGAACATCATGAAATAATACCTACTTGAGGGTTAAACATCCTGGTAATTGATACTCTCAGATAGCTCCCAATTATCTTGATCTTTGCGATGCTGGTATAAACTAGATTGATGTTCGACTACACGCAGTCGATAATGATGCCTCCGTCATAGAGCGATTTTAGAAACCAAAACAGAAGCTACTTTAAAAATTCAAGTTTGATTGTAGTCCATTTGATACAGGTTCTAAGAATATCGTGATAAAAGTTATTTTTTATATTTAATTTCATTTATTTCCATTTCCATATCTAACATAATAAAAAA